CATTCCTGGCACATTCCACCTTGGGAAAATTAACTTCCTAGCCGTCAGAAAACCATCTCCTGTCTCTGATTTGAACATTCCATTTTCAAATTTGCTCATTTAAAGGAACGCCCCGGATGTCTGCAGCAGCGTTACACCGTTAGCTCTTTGGCTGTGAAGCCTCTCGCCGGCCTCCTTCCCAGGGGGAGGAGTTCTCCTCGCTTCCCATGACACGGTCTCCACAGCAACGTTACCTCCAGCCCAGCAGTGCCCACCGAGCCCCGCCGCCGCTTCGGGCCCGCAGGGGTTAAAAGCCGCACCGAGGAGCTGCAATGCCGGCAGGCTCGAATGACTCGTTAGACGGAGTAAAGAATCCGCCCCCTAAGCACACTTTGGGCTAAAAAAACCCCAACAAACTAACTCAAACAAAGCAAAAAACATGGACAACTCCTTTGTGGAAGAAGTGGCTGCTTCACTGGTGAGAGAATTTCTCAGTAGAAAGGTAACTCGTCTCGATTTTCTCCAGCTAGTACAGATGAGAATGGCACAGGGGAAAATGTTAAATGCGAAAAGGCTGAGGGATGCTGGGAGGCGGGGGGGAACTTCTTCCAGCCTTAAAGCAGCTAGACCCGAACCCCAACAAGGCTGGGGGGTAAGGATCTGCACTACACTTCCCACAGTGCCTTTTCTCTGCGCAGAATGGAAGGCAGCTTCCTCCCGGGCTGAGACACACCGATTCTTACCCGCACACGCCTGCAAAACACAAAATGATCGCAAGAAACGCAGCGTCAGTTCGGTTCCGAGTCGTTTGGGTTTTCTTCCTCATTAACCCCTACCTGTCTGTCGTCCTTGTGTTTACAAGAGACATACAAATTTCACAGAACTTTTTTCTTTTTAAAAACAGCATTCTGGAGAAACCGGTAACAAGGGTTTGGGTTTTTCTGTTTTGATCTGGTTTGTTTTGATCTGGTTTGTTTTTTCCTGGTTTTCAATAAGAGCTTACCAGACAGCAGATTTATCTAGGAGAAGGAGGCAGGGAGTAGGAAAGAGGCCATTGTACTCTTTACAGACTTAATGCACGGTGTAAAAAGAATATCCCATCTTAAAGAAACTTTTACTATGAATTGGCGTGGGGAATATGGGATTGAGTAGAAGAAAAGGCACCTTCACGTTTTCAGGTGAAAGTACCTACCACCTCAATCCTACGGAAATAATGCTTAAGTCCAGTCCATTTCCCAGGAATAAGTTGCTTGTATTAGAAATCAGCCTGCCACTGTCTTAAGTGCTACACAAACCTCAGTTTTCTTCATCTGTTTTGCATCCAGTCTCCAAATGCACATTTTTGAATGTTTGTGAGCAAAGTGTAAACATTTGCCAGCAGAAATTCAGATGCAGAATTCATTATCTGCCATTTACTGCCAGAAGTACGAGGCTCAAGTCTATTCAGTTGTTTGCAAAGATTCTTCAAATGAAAACCATTACATTTCCAAGTTACATACATGCAAATAGAAAACTGAATAAAAGCAGAAGAGGAAAGCAAACACTCCACTGGTAAAACGGACCATACAGCTTACAATAGTAACTTATACTTGAATTGCCACATCTATTTAATAATATATATTCTGGAGTAAAAAATGTGGGACACTGATGACCCTTTGTGCTTCTGTGCAATATACATCAGAGTCAACTTTGAGAACTATCCTTTATCTGCCACAACTTGTCTATTAATTCCCTGATTCAGACAATCCATCTGCGAAAGAACAGATCCTCTCTTCTAACATTAGCCCTTTAGGGCAGAAATTGGGACTTCTCCATCTCAGAATTGTGGTCTGCTGTTGTACCACTTGAATCAGTTCAGGATCCCACTCTGACATTTCACAAGGGATCACTGAGATGCCCATACATTTTGTCTCTGAATTCTCCTTTTATGCTGACTACACATTCAAAGTAGTTGAGGAAGTCTGAAGACCCCCCAAACCAGCTAAAGCCACGGAGATCTGATTTCCAACCTGAAACTGATCAGATAAAGGTTCTGAAACTGCTCTGAACCCACCAAGAGACAGTGGACAGCCCATGTTCACGCTTCATAGTCACCCAAGTCAGAGTCCCATTTAGGAGGAGCTGTATCACATCTTGCTGGAAAAGGCAAACTTGGTATTTCTGCAACTATTTAAGCCAGAAGCCCACGTGTTAGTAGGGCCCTTCACACATACCAGTGAGGCTCTTGAGCAGCTGAAGTCACCTGCCTGGAGGGCTTTTTCTTTTTTCCACATTCAATGATTGCCACCTCACAGACAACAGAGCCACCTCACTTATTTTCACATCTGTGGGCTGCACTAACACAAGATTTTATCATTCAAGCACAGGTTCTAAGAGTTAGCTTGTTACTACTTACTGCTATTTTAATGTATCCATAAATTTCTTACTACATCCAACAAAGTCAAGCATTTGTAAGCTTTGTTAAGTTGTACTGTCTCTAAATCTCTCAAATCTGACACTTTTCCTTCTCAGGGTTTGAAGAAAACCATCACCACCATGGACCGAGAGCTGCCACGTTCTGCACTTAGCATCAATAACAGAAACGAACTCCGAAATGTCCTGCATCTGCACTCCTTGTACAAACAGAACAAGGTAAGGAAGCAGAGCGTGCTCCCCACTTCTACCGGCAACTTCATATAAAACCTGGCTGATAAAATTACATTTGTAACATTTATCATTCTTTGAAATGTAATATAGGCAGAATTATTTGATGACAGGGACATCAATGGATAATAAGTCACTTGAAAAAAAATCTCCCCATGTACTTACATCACTACAGCAGCCATAGCATTTTTTTTACTTAAGCCCTAAACTTCTGTGTCTTCCTTTATTATTGTAATTATTAAATTAAATGTTCATGTACACATGTCCAGCATACTGCTGGAAAACACTGTTAACGAGTGGCATGTTGCTCTATACTAAAAGTTTTCCCTCACACAATAATTGATTTCTAGAGACTGTGTTTATCACCAAGTTCTGATGATAAAAATAACCCACAACTACTGCAGTCAGCTACTATATATACTTGCAGTTCATTCTACATCCTTCTGAAGAGGATCAGGTAATATTATAAAAGGTGTATTCTAGCACAGTTACCATACTTTGCAATCTTTAGCTAAAATGCATATAAGGAATGACTGCAACAGGTTGTTTCTTCTGTCTCATGCTTACTTGATTAATGCAGCAACACCTTTGAGCTCTTGACATTCCCTAGCTGACATCTTTCAGCCTCCCAGCTTGTCTGTACAGTCACATCTGGGATACACCCACAGCTGACTCTAGAAAGTAGCTGGTACATTCAGCTACTGCACGGTGTAAAAAGAATATCCCATCTTAGGTTACAGCAAGACTAACAAAAACCTTCAGTAGTCCCCAAGAACTTTTCTTTTTGCACAGGCAAAGGAGAACCCACTGAAAACACTTCTTGAAGTTATTACCAATTACTTCCTTGAGCACCGGGGGACTTCCAGAAGCATCAGCTCAAGTTCTGCTCTGTCAGCTCCTCAAAGTAAGAGCTCAACATCTCACCCGCTCGAGCTCTCAGATGAAGACCAGGTTCACGGGAGTGCCATGACGCTCGGTGAAAGTGAAACTCCAGCCTGCAGGTACAGTCTTCTTTCTTTCTCTTTGCCCTGTCTAGTTTCTTTTTCAATTAAATGAGGGAAATAGTGCTAAGATTTTTTATCTTTTGTACCTTCAGCTACAATGCCTTTTATTAGATATCTAGGTGCACAAAGTTTCAATTTCCATATCCTTAAAATCTCTTACGCAAGCCACCCTTCAAAAATGCTTTTATGTTCCCTACTAATTACAAAGACTGGTAATCTCAATTACGTCTTTCAGTCACTGCAGCACATAGAAATCTGAGTTTCTGTGCTTTGTAAATACTCAAACTGAAGCATATTCTGGTGAGAAACTAACCACCTGCACCCAAATTACAGGTGTACTCATGCTGTACAGTCAACAGCAAAGCCTATAATCTTAAACTCAGCATTGTTACAAACAGCATAGGCTGTGTTATTCCCGTTTTACAAAATACCTGAAACAGCATGTAACAAAGTCTTTCAATTGCGTTTATTACTGCCTCAAGGTAGAGTGAGAGCCCTAGCTGTGCTTCAGCAGAAAGCTCTTAAATGAGCTCAGAAGAACAACTCACCTTTCCAGCCTTGATACTGAGGGAATTAATCAGATTTTATTCCTCAACCTAAACACAGTGTGCTCAAAGCAGCCAAGTGCCAGGGCTTGCAAAAACCCAGCAAGTCTCGCCTTGTGGGGGCAGAAAACCACCATTTTTGAAGTTGATGCTACCTGCCCAGAAGCAAAAAAATTACGGGCTTCTCTTCTTTGGATACAGGCACTTTTAGCATAGTCAGTGGCCTTCTATACCCCTGCCTGATACTATCCCACCTCACGCTGCCTCACAGCTCCCGCCCGCCTCTTTCTCTCCCTTTGCAAGTCTTTCCATTCCCCCCGCGAGCCTCTCCAGGGCCTGCAGACCTTTCTCACGACAACAAAAACCTTTCTCCTACAGAGGAATCCACTAACATCCCCTTCAGGCACCAAACAACTGCACTTGGCAGGGTTACGACTTATTACAAGCTCGAACGCGTCGGCCGCGGCGCGCACAGTGTTAGAGCCCGCCTTGCGCCTGCGCGTTGGCAGCACAAAGCGAGCACTGCGCGGCTGGGCCAGAGCGGCCTCAGCGCGCAGGAAGCGGGCGTCGCTCTGCTTTACAGTAGCGGCCTCTCTATGATTTTTAGTCCTCCACTGGCGGGAAGGGCATGCGCAGTGTGGTCGGGTTGAGCATCCTCTGCCGCCGGTGTGTACAGGATCGTGAAAAGACACGTACATGCGTGAAAACACAAATGCAAAGAGGCAAAGTAAAGCCCCACAGGCAGAAGCAGCGTGGGTTGCCAAAGGGAGGGGTGGGGGGTGCTGGGAGGAAGCGCCCGTCTGGAGCAAGCACCTTCCCTCCGGAGGTGAAGCATTCCCCTTCCCCACCCCCATCACCGGAGCAGCGAGCAGCCAAAAATGTGAAGTTCACGGAAAATTTGAAGGCAAAAACCACAAATACACGACTTTTCCTGTGTATCGGCTTGGAAACTTTACCCGAGCTGCACGCTGGAAGCTGTCAGCTCTGGAGAGAGCGAAATCCTGTATTAACCCGCAGGTTTCCATCTAAATCCTGTGAGATCTTGTACCGCTTTTCGTGCCTTCGTGTGGACCAGCCTCACCAGTTCTTCCTTCCTGCGGGGAGGGAGACCAAAGCTGTCTGGAGGTGCAAGGAAGGGAGAGGGAGCTGAGTGGGTGTGATGGGGGAACAGGGGTTTCAGGGCCTGCCCTCATACAGGTCAGCGTTTGTAACTGATTTTTCTTTCAAAACCAGCAGATTCTGAAAGGCACGGGTAGGCCTTCCTGGATGAGACCTTCCCAGGTCTTGTCGCTGCCGTCTCCACGGCGTGGCCGCAGGAGGAGGCAGTAGGAAGGGCTGACCCGGGCAGGTTGACGGGTTAACTCAGCCACGTCCTGTTTCAGCCCAGAAAAATGAACCAGTGAGAGAAACACCATGGCAAAGCTTGGCTCTGAGATCCCCCTAGTCATTTCCAACCCCTCCTAGCCATTTCCGAGAAAGATCGGGTATTGCCACGTCAACCAGCCAGTGCCTGAAATTATTTTCATCGGCCAGGATGATTTTTACCAATACTTTCAGGAGTGGGGAATATAATTAGACAGGTACTCTTCACTGGTCTCATTCAATAATCCTCTTTCCTTTTACTTGTCCACTTAAAAGTTTTTTTGAATGTCTCTTTGTTAAAAGAGTCTCTAAGCTGACACACTGTGCCCTTTGGCAATGAGGGGTTACATGTTCCTCAGTCAGGAGTAACAGTCCTCAGATTTCCTAATCGGCTTTCCAGAGACTAATCATTCTCGCTGCAGTTTACATATGCAATGTTATCTTCACAGCATGAGACATACTACTTCAAAAGCCATTTTTTTACTGGTTAAGTAAAAGGAGTGTTTTTGTCCTGCAAGATGCTTCAACTCCTGGAATTGCTTGACTATGAAATAGGGTGGAAAGAAACATCCTAAAGTGAAAGACAGTTTTAAGGACAGCTATTGTAAAGAAGGCTAGCGTTTTTGGGTTACACAGAATAGAGATTTATCAAATGACACAAAAGAGGTCTCAGCAAAGTGGGAACTGCTCAGTAAAAGAACTTCCACGTAACAGTGATCCAATATTACGCAGGCAGTGAAACAGATCCTGATGAGGAAAATCAGACTCGTCATGATTTATTGCAGGCTCAAATCGGTACTCTTTTGTGTGTAAGAAAGTGATTTGTTGAAAGATATTTTTAAGAAAGAAATGCATATAATGTACAAGCAGAGGCACAGATTCAGGTGAGTTTCATTTGTGTTTCAAAAAAAGCTTGTTTGTACCATTATAGATGGGTAGGAAAATAGATGCAAACAGTGAACTGCACCTTGTGTTGCTACCTTGAGGACTAGGCTGAAGAATATGAAAGAGGTCAAAGGACAGCAATGTAGCAACCTCTTATCAAGAAAAAACCCAAATACAAAAGTACCTTTCATTTTGAAAGCCAAACAGATATTTTCATTGATTTAATTGTGCATTAATTTAATTGTGCTCTTTGAAGTTTTACCTTGTTCTTCCTTGTAGGTATGATGCTGAGAATCCACTAAATAAAATACTTCCATCCAGAAAACATCAGCACAGAAGTGAAAAATGCCACACAGGGACAACACACAACAACCACTTGTCCTCAGACGGGGATAAGAATTTAAAAGATAGTCGAGAAGATTTAAAAGCAGCAACAATTTCTGAGGAGCTGAAATCCACAGTGAAGGAAAAGCCAAAGCCCAGGTCTGGTCTCATTGTCAGAGGAATGATGGCTGGACCAGTAGAGAGTTCACCAGAGGTGATTTCCAACATTTACAAAATAGTTGACTTGGCTATGGATTTTATATCTAACCTGCTGCGATAACATAATTTGAAAGTAATATTAAACCAACTTCTGCATGCTAATCCATTCAGTCTGCAGTATGAAAATATGGGATTAGGGAAGTGATTCTGGTTAATTCAGAAATTTAAACTGTTTCAGATATAGCCACTACATGGAACTACTCCCCCATGTCTGTGATCTTAGGCTACAGAATTTCTTTATAAATCTTTCCCATTCTTAATATCTCTTGACTGATGGGATTTTCCATTTTCCTAGGAAAATGGCTTTTTTCCCTTATCAGCTTTGAAAGTTTTCTTAGCCTTAGGTATCTCGTGTTACTCAAGTTTTTCCAAAACTTCACATTTAATCTGTCACAGTTTGGAACTGAAAATTGCTTTCAGTTAGAAATATGTTTCTAAATTGCTCTGATCAGACCATTCCATCAGAAAGTGTTTTCAAAATACAGTTCTAAAATTCTTGCTTCTTTTTTTTCTTCATATTTTGTTGACATTCTTAAGTAAAAGAAAGCTTTTAACAGTATTTAACATCTTTAATACTGTTCAAATTTTAAATAAAAGTGTATGTCCATCTTATTAATAATCGTTTTTAAAATCAGATTTGCTGTATAACCTGATTCCTAATAGTAAGTGAATTGCTTAACCCAGAAAGTAGTGACAGAGCTTTGCTTTGATTTTCATGTTTATTTAATGATGCTCAAATTTTAATCTATAGTTCTAATGGCACTTATTTCTAGGATCTGCAAAAAAGGAGGCTTTCAAAACGATCCACGAGCATAATCAGCACAGCACACTGCAAGGGTGAAGAACATGAAGAAAATTCCCTGAGTGTCCCAAGTATTGCCTATCAAGATAGCAAAGGATCTTCAACACAAGTAAATACGGAGTTTTCATCAAAGACTGTGTCAAGCTCACACACAAGTTCCGCCTCTCAAAAACTAAGAAACATCCCCAAAGACACAGACGACTCTTTTGCCAAACTAGTGTCTGAAAGAGAGAGGACCAAGACAGAAGAAAGAAAATCAGTCCCAGATTTTGGTACAGACAGCAATGAAAAAAGCCTTAAAGTGAGTGCATCTCACAGACATTCAGGGGCTGGAAGAGAGAAGAAAGAAAGATCCCTCAAGAAAAGTGAGAGTCGATTGTCAGGCCACAGGTAAGAATATTTGTAAGAATATTATACTAAATTGTTGAGGAAATCTGAGGGAGAACTTGGAGTGAGTGAAATACACCTTCTGATTTCATTGAGGGGAAATAGCTGGAAGAGGTGAAGATGCTGAAAGGCAGAGAAGTTTTAGCTTGCTAACTTTTGACATTCCAGACCAGTTAAGACTCCTTTCTTGGTCAGTGGAGAGATGCTAGAGGTGCTGGTTTCTCTTTACTGCTTCAGAGGGGAACTAGTTACTAATTCAGGCTTAGAGCACTTACACATCTAAGCAGTACAGGTGACTGTACCTGTGGAGGTTATCTGCAGTTTTTTTCCACAGAGACAATGCTCGTTTCATAGGAAAGTGTTGATTGCCTCTAAGTGTTGCAGAAAACCTCAGAGGATGAAATTAAGGAATACCAGCCAAGTGCTGATGTATGTCCGCGTGATTCAGTGCAGTGCTGTGCTGAGAGAGCCAAGCTACACCCAGACAGGCTCATGTAGCTACGAGCACGGTGCTCCTCGGTGCAAAGGTGCTGCGGTGTGTCTTTGAAGCAGGTTAGCCCATGTCACCGCAATATTTAAACTAAGCCAGATTAGCATCCCCCTGCACTGTGATGCTGCAGCCACATAGCTTCTCTGTCTCAAAGCATATTACTCAAAAGTTAGCTCAGATTATTTATTTTTTTTTTTGCATTGCTTCGATATGAGAAGTTTAGAAGAGCCACCTTCTCTAAGCTCCAAATGTGTACTTTTGGCTTTTCTCTGTCTTATGCTCCTTAGTTGATTTTTAGAATCATAGAATCATAGAATGCTTAAGGTTGGAAGAGACCTTGAAGATGATTTAGTTTCAAGCCCCCTGCTGTGGGCCGGGACAACTCTCTCCCGCTAGACCAGGTTGCTCAAAGCCCCATCCAGCCTGGCCTCGAACACCTCCAGGGATGGGGCATCTACAGCTTCCTTAGGCAATCTGTTCTAGCGCTTCACCGCTCTCATGGTGAAGAATTTCTTCCTTATATCTAATCTAAATTTACCCTCTTGCAGGTTGTTTTTTTTTTCCTGTGCTGAGAGTGGGGAGGCATGGGATTTTATTTATTTGGGGCTTGCTAAAGCAATGGGACACAGACTGACACATCTCTAGGCAGGCTTTGTAGTGGGGCTGGGACTTGGGTTGGGTTTTGAAATGCTTCTTGTTGAGTCATCCCTCTGAGGTTAACCAGTCTGAAATTCTTAACCACTGAAGATGCCCGTGTGATAATTGGTTGAAATATTGTGTTGAGTTTATACCACCCACTGCTCCATAAACTAAGGCACATGCGATTATCCTCTTCGGTGGGCCATAAGGTAGTATTTCTGTTTCACTAAATTTAACAGCAGCCAGGTTTGTTGCTTTCTTTTAAAAAGTGATGAAAAACCTCATTAATATGCTAAAACTGCAACGTATTTTTTTAATTATTATTACTATTTTGTTTTTCCTTTTACATTTTGTATAAATCTTGAGACACAGTGTATTGAAGCCCTGTTAAATCATGAGGGAGCAATGATGTATTATGTTTCTTCACATTTATGTAAGGGACTGTGGGAGTTAACAAACCGAGGATCACTTGAATGGCACTTGCTTCCTGTCTGAAATCAAAAAAGAACTGAATATAGCCACCAGCATTATGTGGTTATTTACCCATGTTACTCACTTCATTTGGAAAATATTACTGAGTAACAGGCCAAAATACTGCAGTCTGACATCCACAAGAGGTCAGCCCTTCATTATATGCTGTACTGGAAAGCTGAGCTGTGTCAGAAAACAGCTGAACCCAGGCAATACAAGTCTGACTCTTGCTGAACTGGAACTCGTGCCTGCAGATCCACCCTTGATATTCTGCATCCAGGAGGATTTATTAAGTCTTGCATGTGAATGCAGAGAGCCAGCTCATAAACCACTCTGGAAGCAGGAGCAGTGGGGTCTGAGTTGTGTCATACAACTCAGCTTGACAGAGCTGATAAAGTAGCACTAACCCATCACTTCATCCTTTCCAGTTTCAGGATGGTTTATCACTTCATGCTCAGCGTTAATTGAGGTAGAGAGTACAGCTTCAGTGGGCTTGTGACAGCTTCCCAGCAAAGCTGAGAAGAGTAAGTGTATTCTTGGTATCTGATAATCAGTGAATACATACTGCATTATTTGTGAGTATCAAAGGCACATTGGATTGGATAAAATTCTTGAGAAGAGTGTGTCTGACTAAGAAATCCATAGCAATTTCACTCAGCTGTAGTTGGACTTGCTGACACTTCGTAATCTTGTGCAGTAACTGTGGAGTGAGCAGAAAAGGAGAAGCTGGACTGAGAAGGGGACTGCCCCGGTGCACCGTTTCGTGCAATGCACGGCAGTGCTGTGCTTTGTTGCTGTAGCAGATGCTTTGAAATAGTTTCCTTCCTTTAGAGGACTGCGTTGGTTTCAGCAAAAACAGACGAGGGAGCTATTTCCTAAGCAAAGTCCATGTAATCTGTTTCCAAAGCAAAATGGGAACGTTCCTGCCAGGTGATTCGAGTTAAAGCCAGTAGAGCATCTGAATTCACACTGAGCTCGGAGGCCCTGAAAATTCTCGCTGAAATCAGCAGGACTGGCGATACTCCTGAAGTTAAGTGGAAATAACAGAGTGTGGAAGTGAAGTTCTGAGCATAAAGCGACCATTACAATGAAAGGCCTGGCTCTTGCAAGACTTTTATATCCATTTGGCCAAATCCTTCAGTGCTTGAGAGCCTGTCAGGATTTGGCCAGAGTGCTTGAGCATTTCGAGGCATGAAAAGTTAATGATGTAAGAGTGAATATTTGTCTGGATCCTCTTCTATTCTCTGTTACTGCTACCTGATGCATCTGACAGAAATACTACTGTAAGTATTTAGATGAAAATCTATATGGCATTAACAGCTAGTTCATTCACGGGCATTTGCAGTTCTGTTTGTGTTTTCCACAGAAAACTGAAGACATGCAAATCTTATTTCTCCTTCCATTTGCTGGACTTGTAATTCACTTTTCTCATATACAAAAATAGCTATCGTATACAGGCTGCAGACATCCGTTGTTGACATACAAGAAAAAATGAAGCAAAACTACTGGCATGCTTCAAAAGACAAACTGAATTTTATCAAATAAATGCTTACCAGCTGAGTGGGCAGAAGTATCTAGGTATGAAAATATCCTAGGAGAATATAGACTTTTGTTTTGACTCACGTGTTTTAATGGAAAAATGATCGTGCTTTTTCCTAATTATCTCTCTAATTCTTAGCTACTCCATGAAGTACATGCAGAGGGCCAGCTGTGTGGAGAGGCCATATTTCTGACTTGATATTTCAATCTTATAGTATCAACATGAAGTTAGACCTGTGAGTAACATATTTCACATCAAGTTCATCCTCCTTAAGAATTGGAGGTTCTGTCTTTGTTGAAATAGGTACCATTTGGCTATCTTGATGGTGAGGAGACATTTGGATTTCTGTGATGCCCCAAATTAAATGCTTACTTGCGAAGAGGGCTGTGTCATTTAACAGTGAGCACTAAGTGTTCCGAAATTACAGACCAAAACTCCCACCACAAATGAGGGAGAGAAAAAAAAAACCAGCAAATTTATATATTTGCATTGCTATTCCTGCAGTTCTTTGGGGTTTTTTTGGCAAATGGAATCAAGTTAGTGAATCAGTCAGATGAATGATACAGATTTAGTCTTTGTTTGTTTGTTGACCTGCTATTCCTTTCAAATTCAGGTGTCTCTTGTGGTCGTTTAAAAGGCCAGTGCTTAACTGCAGTTATTGCGTGATTGCTCATGACAGTAATGAAATACCAGCTTTTAATAGAAAACCACTTGTTATTCTTTCAGTGTATTCTGGACTTAGTACTGATCTCCTTGCAGAAACAATGTCATTACATAACTAGTGCACAATATTCCTTTACTCACAGAAGGATAAAGATGAAAACCAATTTGTTGACCTACATCTTCATTTATCTGCATAGCACCTGGCAATGTGATGTCTGAATTCCTCCCATTTTAGAAAAGGGAGAGAAATGGCCACGAAGAATTAGAACAAAAGGATTATTTTCTTCTATTACAGGGGGAACAGAAATTTTTGTTGTGTTGGGCCGATGATAACTCTCTATGTTATGACTGTATTCTTTTCCATGTCACTAGGAGTTATTCTGTAAAGAAAGTATGATATGCTGTAGAGTTTGCCTACCAACTCTGATGTAATTGTGAATGCAATCTATATGCCTTTTCTTCAGAATTCCTTCATTTTTAATTAATCCAGAAAAAAAAGCAATATATAGGTGGCAGCAAATCTTCATGTATCCTTGGCTGTAAGCAAACAGCAGCTAATGAGAATCTCCCCAGCAGTAACTTGCATCCGTTTACCCCTCATCTCTTCTATATGACTCCCTGTAAAAAGAGAGTCTTCTTTGTAGTCACCCTTTAAATACTGGAACGTGGTGATAAGGTCTCTCCTAAACCTTCTTTTCTCAAGGTTGAACAAACCCAGCTCTCTCCGCCTTTCCTTATACGACTTCCCAGTCCTCTGGTCATCTTTGTGGTCCTTCTTCAGATTCTCTCCAGCCTGTCTGCATCTTTTTTTGCATATCAAGGACCAAAACTGAACACAGTATAAGAGAGTGATAATGCCTTCTTCATCTCTGCTGGTGATTCCCGTGGTGATGCAGCCCAGGATCTGGTGACCTTTTTTTTTTTTTGCTGCAGCAGCTCACCCAGATTGAGCTCGTCATCCTCTAGGACCCCCAGGTCTCTTTCTAGAGAGCTAGTCCTCAGGTGGATAGATCCCAGCCTATGCTGCGTTCCTGGATTATATTTTCCCAGGTGCAAGACCTTATGCTTGTCCTTTGTGAACTTCCTAAGAGTCTTGTTAGCCTGCTCTTCCAGCCTATCGAGGTCTTCCTGCAGCGTGGCTCTCAGTTTGATTTCATCAGCAAACATCATCAGAATCTAGGTCACTTCTGAAGATATTAA